TTAGTCTTTTAAAGTAATTTTAATTGAGACAAATAAGATCTTAATAAAATTTTGATGGTAAATGAGTTTATATATATATATATATATTAACCTTTCAATATCTAGAAACCTTAATTGAAGTCGAATCAGATCAAACTCTATAAAAAAACATCGAATTCTTTCCGTTTAGACTAGTAAATCATTAATAGTGGTAACTATGAGTTTTAAAATTGTAATCTGCAACAAATATGCTTAAAATGGATGGAGAGGGTCATATATGTGGTCATCACATTCCCTTTGTCTATGCACATTTATGCGATTTTTAGAACAATGAATATCTTGTATCTACATGGGACGATTTATATCTTGTATAAATGTAGCTATGTGGTTGACGTCTTAGATCCTATATTAAGTTTCTGTTTGAAGAGGTGCTTCTGTTTTTCATTGTGTCTGTTAAGATGTGAACACAATTATATTTATAATTATTGTAAATATTTTATACTTTATAACATTCTTTTTGTATATTTTATATCTTAAAATATTCTTTTTGTAAACACTTATATTTAGGTCATTATACATACAGTATTATTCAAGAAAGCAATAAATCTTTCTTCAAATTATTCTTCTTTTTTGTTTCCAACATGGTATCAAAGCAATGAGCTCTTGGTTCTTTTCTCTTATCATCGTTGTTTGGTTTTTGGAGTTGGATTTTCAATTTCATTCCAGATCTAAAACTTTGTCATTGGGATCTTTTCTCCTACAGATTGAATTGTTTATCCTCGATTCTCAGACCCTTTCTGAGGTATTTTGTTGGTTTGTTATTTCGATTTTGACATCTATTTCTTTTTATATTTTTTAGAGTTTTTTAGTATTATGAGTTTTATTGATTTTATGGCGAGTTTTGAAAGGATTGTAGCTCATCCTACTATTACTATGGTTGCCAAAAAAGTGATAAACCAACCTAATGTCAACCTTGAATTCCTAAAACAGTTGATATTAAATATTTTTAATGCTCCTACTGCCTTATCTACTGCTCCAAGTACCAAACCTTGGTATTTTGATTTTGGTTGTTGTAACCATATGTCTTCAATTATTGCTCATTTCTCTTTAATGTCACCAAATAATTCCTTTCCTGATATTTATTCAGCTGATAGTTCCCCTATGAATGTTAGTCATATTGGCAATATTTCTACAAAGTCATTGACTTTACCAAATGCCCTCTTAGTTCCAAAACTTAGTTATAATCTTTTATCTATTGGTCAATTATGTGATCTTGGTCTTGAAGTAATATTTTCTGCTCATGGTTGTCATGTGCAGGACCCACGGATAAGACAACTTCTTGAAACTGGTCGCAAGGGGGGGCTTTTGTTTGAGCTCAACTATATGCATATTCCTGATAATAAAATGGATACACCATCAATTCCAAATGATCGATTCATCCAAACCTTGCTTTGTGTTGTTGAATTAGAGTCTTTACAAATTCCATAGCAACAAATTTTGCAAGCCTGTGCTGCTACTAGTGTTTCTCTTCTCCATTTGTGGCACTCACAACTTGGACATACCTCAGTCAGTAAAATTCATTCACTTATCTCTCATGGTTTATTAGGATCCATTCTGAATGAATCCTTGAATTGTGTGTCATGTCAATCTACAAAGTAACTAGCTTTATCTTTTTCAAATAGTCATTCCCATTTTACTACTCCTTTTGATCTCGTGCATTCTAATGTTTGGGATCCGTCTCCTATACCCACCATGGGGGGTTTCAAGTACTTTGTGTTATTTATTGATAATTATACTTGTTTTACCTAGATATACTTGATGAAAAATCACTTTGAATTATCACAAATTTATATTAATTTCGCTACCATAGTCAAAACTCAGTTCTCTAAAATTATCAAAGTTTTGAGAACTGATAATGCTACTGAATACCTTGGTACTAAACTTCAATCCTTTTTAAAAAAAACAGAGTATACTGACACAACAATCTTATCCTTATACTTTTGAACAAAATGAGCTAGCCAAATGTAAACATAGACACATCCTTGATTCTGTTCGTGCTTTGCTCATTTCATCTTCTTGTTCGGAGTGATTTTGGGGTAAAGCTGCTCTTACAGTTATTTATCTTATTAATCGTATTCCATCATTAGTCCTTAATAACCAATCTTTATACGAGCATCTACGTGGTATTCTTCTTACCTATAATCTTCTTAAGGTTTTTTGTTGTGCATGTTTTGTTCTTCTTCCACCTCATGAACCTAACAAGTTAGAGCCTAGAGCTCGATTATGTTGTTTTTTGGGTTATGGGATTACACAAAAGGATATCATTGTTAGGATCTTGTGTCACAAAAACTCTGAATTTCACATCATGTTTTATTTTCGAAACACACTATATTCCCATCGTTGTCAAATTTCGAAGTGTTATCCTATCGTCAACTTCCATTTTTTACTAATCCTTCTATTGAGCTATTTCCTAATGATTTTGATGTAAGCACATTTGATGAGCTCTACAATGCCTCACCACATGCTCCAACTAGTTCTCTTGCCTGGTATCCTCTCATTCTTTTTCCATCCTGTCTGGTACTTGGATTTAATTTCAATCCCAACATTATCCAGTCATTTTGCTCTAGCAGTCGAAATCTGGAAAGTC